CCCTTCCACTGTTTGCAGAGGGCCAGGGCCTCTGTAGCTGGAGTTCCAGGCCTCCACCATCCTGCGGCTGCCCTCCCCACCCCCACCCCCCAGAGCCTCATCTCCGGCCGGTGCCATGGCAACAGAGAGTGCCAGGCCCTGGCAGCCAAAGGAGCCCCTGAGAGGGGTCCCAGGCTGAGACTGAGGAGGGGGGTGCGGCAGGCGCAGACAAGCAAACCTTCTGTTCCCCGGGCTGCTGCCAGCCCGGAGCAGCCATGGGCTGGGGTGGGGGCCACAAACAGAATGGGTTCTCTGAGCCAAGTGGGCAGGGGACAGGCAGGCCTTGGGCCATTCACACTGACCCACCAGCGCACAGCCTTCCCCCACAGGCCCAGATCCTGCAAATAGGGGAGGGGTAGCTAGCTAATGAGTCAACTCTTCACTTCTCCGTGCCAATTACCAAACATTGAGATTCCCCTCAGAGCCCTCCTGGGCAGCAGAGCAGGAGGGCAGGGAACCCCCATGTTTCACTGACCCGCTCACTGTCTCAGCATCCATCCTCCCACCGCTGCCTTCGGTCATTCACTTAACCGCCCCTCTGTGCCTCAGTTTTCTCATCTGTGGATTGCAGCTCATAACTGGGTTGTCAGGGCTATTGAAGGAGTTAACACAAGCAAAATGCTTAGAACAGGGTCTGGCACACAGCCCTCTGCAAAGTTGGTGGCCACATTATCATTATTCATTCACTTGAGGGATAAGTCACTCATTCACTCGGCCTTGCGCGCACAGCCAAGACTCCACGGGACTAGGCTTCTCAGCAAAGGTATGCATGTAATAAATGAGATGGTGCAGGAAGGCCTCTCCCAAAAAAGCCTCCTCAGGAAGAGGTGGCTGCTATGATTATTGGTACTATCAGTAGCAACAGTCCTCTTCAGTGTACTGAGGCTCAGTGAGGAGTGTCTCATCCTAGCACACTCAGGGATTTGGTGGCCACCCTAGGGCGAGACCCATCTAATAACCTTCACTCCACTGTCTGTCAATTACTTCTTTCCTGAACCTTTGTCTTAGTCCTTTAATATGACTTCCCACAAATCAGGATACTTACCTAACAACAGTCTGGACTCTCTCCAAGTTCCTAATATGGGATTAGGCCTACAGTAGGTGCTCAACAAATGCTTACACAGTATGAGAGATTAAATGGCTCTGCAGGGTCAGCTCTTCAGTCCTGGGCCCTTGGCTGCCTCCTAATAACACAGAATTCACTAGGCTAGGGAACTGGCATGGGCAGGCAGTGGTGACTCTTTCCTTCCAGGGAGGTGATGGGGATGAGCTGGTGAGGGCAGAACAGACATACGGCACTCTGAAGTCAACAGGCTGAGCCTGATGCCATCCAGGGCAGGGAAATGGCATGGGAGCCCTGCCAGGCTGGGAGCAGTGGTTCCAGCTGGAAGCCACTTACTCCTGGGTCCAAGTCCCAGTTCTACCACCTCGTAACTGGGTGACCTCTCTGAGTTTAACTTGTCTGAGTCTCAATTTCCTGGGAAATGGCATGGGAGACCTCCTTTTCCATTGCTGGGAGGGTGCAGAGATGATGACGCACAGCACTTGGCACATCATAGGTGCCCAGTAAATGGTAACTAATACGAGTATATGATTACTCCAGTGGGGAGATGGAGTATGGCTTCCTGAGGGAGGTGGCCTTGAGCTAGGCCTCCAGGGTTTCTTGAGTTTTTTGGCAGATGATGCCAGGGAAAGGTACTGCCAGGCCTCTGTGAGAGATGGCAAGGCATCTGGGAGAAATGGCAGGGAGAGATCTGTTGGGCTAGAAACTGGGGCTCTTCAGCAAACAGGTAAGTGATGGCCAAGGAAGGAGGCAGCAGGAGGCCAGGGAAGGAGACAGGGAGACTTCAAGAAAGGTCTGTGGTGCTGTGTGAGGATTTGCTCTGGACGCACCAACTTTTCAAGGCATTGATAGTGATGGCAGGTGGTAGCTGCTGGCTGGGCAGGGCAATGCTGTAACTCCAGGCACTGTGGGGAGGGGGCCTCCATGCAGGAGGATGACACCAGCAGGCTGTCATTTAGTGGGAGGCTGTGGATTAGGATGGGGACAGTGGAGGCAGCAAGGCTACTTTTGGGGATGAAGCCGTCCCAAACCCAGCCTGAACTCCCTGGCAGGACCAGCTACATAATTTGTGGGGCAAACACAAAATGGAAATGCAGGGGTCTTTGTTAAAAATTATTAACAATTTCAAGATGATGACTGCAGAGCATTAAACCAAACACAGGCCCTTCTAAGCATGGGGCCCTCAGGAGGATGAGTGCTCATGAAGTCATTTCTGTGCCCTGGACTAAAGGGGAGGCCATCTGTCTGTCTCCATCTATTTATCCATCCATCCATCCATCCATCTATCCACCCACCCACCAATCCATTTATGCATCTCTACATGCATTTATTTGTCTAGTGACCATTTCACTATCCATTCAGCAGATAGACCCTGGGTTGGAAACTGATAAGGACACAAATACAGGTGAGATGGGAGCCACCCACAGTCCACCAGGTCACACCTGCACCTTCAATGCTCTGGGTCAGGAGGGGCCAGGGCTTCTGTGACATGTTTAGAAAGCTGAGCCTTGCCTCTCTAGGGCTAACTGGAAACCCCACCCCACCCTATACCCAGTGAGGCTCAGCCTCAGAAGTGGAGAAGCTGGTGGTGTCACTGCCCTTGGGTTTCCACTTCTCAGAAGGGAAGGTAACAGAGCAGCAGCAAAGAGGATGTGGTAAAACAGCCACAAGAAGCACGGCAGGAACTCTCAGGGGCTAAGGGCAGAGCTGGATGGACCTCTGGGGGTCACTAAGCTTCTCCCTTGGCTTTTCCCCCACTTTATTATAAGAGGAAACTATGATTAGAATGAAGAAGTGGTGTGGCCAAAGGCTTGGGGGTCCAGCAAACCACCCAGGAAGATTCCCATCTCTTGTTGGGATGGCTTTGCTCCTTTTCAGCCCGTACTCTGTCCAGGGAGACCTGGAGGCTGAGCACTGAACCACAGAGGTGGAGGTGGGTCTCTCCAGGCCTTCAGAGAGATGGGAAAGACCCAGTACCTGTGGTGGAGCAAAGGCAAGCCCAGGTCCCAGGCTCAGCGTCATCACCAATGATCTGCACGGACCTTATGTGCAACCCCTCCCCTCTCTGGACCTTAGTTCCCATCCATACAATAAAGCAGTTGAATCAGGTGACCCCCAAAAGTCCTTTTCATCTCTGACATTCCGGAACTTTCAGACCCCCTGACCCTCCCAAGGGACAGCCCTCTCCATCACAGGGCGGAGAAGCTGGTACTTCTGGCAGATAAAACATTCTGGGCACCTGAGACATCAAATAGCCCTGATGTGAACTGAGGAGAGGAGAGGATTTTCATTCGGTTAAAGCGATACACCTTGATTTTCAACCTCCTGCACCAGGCTGGGGGTGGGCTGCCCCAGGACGCATCTGGTGGATGTGGGGGTCGGGCGCAGGGCAGGCTCTGGGGCCAGGGCTTGGAGGTTCAGGAAGTTTTTATCCTGAGAATCTGTGCCTGAGGGCTCAGGAGGGATGTGAGGTGGGCTTCTACACTGGAAGCAACAAGTATGCGAATTTCACACCCACTCCCACCAAAGGTAGGTCCCTGCATCCATTCCTCCCCTCACTTCTGGATCCCATCACTCATCTGGGCCCAAGTCTTGCTTCCTCTTGAAATTAGAGCATATGAGGTTCGAAAACTCAGCACTGGAAGAGACCTAAGGGTTACAGCATCCACACACAGCCCCTAGTGGGCCCACCTCTCCGACCCTCCCTGCTCAGTATCCCAGGAAAATGGGCATGTGGGCTCTGTGGGAGCCCTCTGAGCTCCTCAAGAAACTGAGCACATTAAGGGGCCACACTAATCGTCAGAAAGTTCCTCCTTGTTATTGCAGGTTAAAGTTTTCCATTAGTGATCATCGATCCTGACCTCCTTCTGTAATGTGTAGAGAAAGGGTAAGAAAAAAACCCTTTCATTGTGAAGTTAAATATGCATGATCCCTGAGTACACAGCAAGGCTTGTGCAGTTGCCAATCTGGGCTGGCGTGGCTTGGAATCCTGAAATTGTTGTAGGGCTGGAAGAAAGCTTTACCATCATCTGGGTCAACCTCCTTGTTTGACTGATGGGAAAACTGAGGCCCCAGGAGGGAACGCCTTGTGCACAGTCCCATAGGGTTCTAAGGTCTGATGACTACCTTTGGAATGCTGAGGGCCCCCACAGCTGAGGCACATTCTCAGGGTTTACATTGGATCCCCAGGGGCATCCCAGGCCCCATCTAGCCTCTCATCAAGGGAATCTGGAGTCAGAAACACCCAGGTGCAAATCCCAGCTCCGCCACTTCTGAGCTGTGGGACTTTAGGCAACTGACTCCGCGCACTTTCTCACCTGTAAAATGGGGAGAGTTTAGCCGGGCACAGTGGCTCACGCCTGTAATCCCAGCACTTTGGGAGCCTGAGGTGGGCGGATCACCTGAGGTCAGGTAGTTCGAGACCAGCCTGGCCAACATAGTGAAACCCTATCTCTACTAAAAATACAATAATTAGCCAGGCATGGTGGCAGGCACCTATAATCCCAACTGCTTGGGAGGCTGAGGCAGGAGAATCACTTGCGCCTGGGAGGTGGAGGTTGCGGTGAGCCAAGATCACACCATTGAACTCCAGTCTGGGCAACAGAGTAAGACTCCATCTCAAAAAAAAAAAAAAAAAAGTGGGAAGAGTTTATAGATCTAATTTTGAGGTTGCTGTGAAGGTTAATTTTTTTTTTTTTTTTTTTTTTTTTTGAGACCGAGTCTTGCCCTGTCGCATAGGCTCACTGCAATCTCCGCCTCCCGGGTTCAAGCGATTCTAGTGCCTCAGCCTCCCAAGCAGCTGGGATTACAGGTGCATGCACCACGTCCAGCTAATTTTTGTATTTTTAGTAGAGATGGGGTTTCACCATATTGGCCAGGCTTATCTCAAACTCCTGACTTCAGGTGATCCACCCGCCTCGGTCTCCCAAAGTGCTAGGATTACAAGTGTGAGTCACCGTGCCCAGTCTTGATGGTTAAATTAATCCAGTATTTATTAAGAACATCCTGAATGCCCTGCATGTTCCAAGAGCTGAGGAATACAGCAGCAACTCTGAGGTAACGATGTAAAGCACAATTGAAGTAGACACGGAAAGTACTAAGAACAGGTTGGTTCCTGTTATATAATCCTGCTCACACTGCTTCCTAGCTGAGGTGCTACAAACCCTGACCCTGGGAAGGGGCCCAACACCCCTTCCCTTCCCTCCTAACACTGTGGGTCAGAAGACAGAGGGCAGTGAAAAAAGATTCCCATTCCAAGGACCCACTGCCCACTGGGTTCTGAATCATATGCAAGAAATGGGTGGGCATTTCAGAAGAGCTTTTCATCCCTTTCTCCCTCCCCACTGCACTGAGCAGCAGCCTGTTCTGAGCAAATGCCCAGAGCACCCTCCTTTAGCCTAGGAGGCGGCTGGTCTCAGAGTCAGATTGTGGCCTGTGCCTGGAGGATGGACACGGATCTTTGGAACGTACATGGTGTCCAGGTCCCTTCCATGGGCAGAGCCTTTTGTAGATTGTAGACTAATTTCATAACCAAGTGTTCCAATGCAGGAGGCTGGGAGAGCAGTGGCTCTCCCAGTCGGTGGCCAGAGGTCCAGCTGTGAAGTGCGGGAACTGTGGTAAGCACCTTGCCAATGCTGTTGTCTCACGGAGCCCACACACAGTCCTGCTGCTCACGGACAAGGAGATTGAGGCCCAGAGAGGCAAGGTGTTGCCCCAGGGTCACACAGTCAGCCAGAAACTGGCTCGGGGTCAGTGCATAGTCATCTGATGCCCAAGCCTGGTGCTGTTTACCCACAGCACTCGCTGCCTTCCAGCTGTGGAAGGCGCCCAGAGTTGGGATGTGTGGGGGGTCTGAGGTTAGCCACACGGTAGATTTGTATCAAGCCAGGGCGAGCACTGGGTCTCCTGACTCTGGATCCACGGTGCTTTCCGCTGCCTGTCCCACATCTGCGGGCAATTATAAGTCCCAGCTCTTCTTCCCACAGAGGAGGGGGGCTGCTGATAACTGCTGTCTGGGAGGAGGGTGCTGACCAGATGGTCTCCTTCCTCTCTCAGGACTAAGCCAGGGCCTGGGCAGACCTTGGAGCAGTCAGACCTGAGGCTGCACTTTCTGCTGGAGAAGGTGCTGAAGCCAGGAGCAGGCTCTGCAGGAGGTCAGAGATTCTTCCCTCTGACTAGGAGCTTCCCGGAGAGCACGAGGTAAGCCTTTAGAGTCAGGCAGACTTCAGCCTAAACACCACCTCGACTCACCGTATGGCCCTGGGAAAGTCACTTAGCCTCTCCAGACCTCAGCTTCCTCGTCTACAAAAAGGAGGTAGTACCACTGATTTCAAAACCTTGCCATGAGGACTCCAAGGTGTGTGAGGTACCAGGCTGTATGCCTGCATGAGGTAGGTGTTCAAGGACTGTAGGTCCCTGAAGGCTATGGCTTTTGCGTCTCCCGCTTGGAGACGGGAGGACTGTGTGACTTCAGAACTTGTCACTAGAGGCCTCTGTGCAATCAGGAGGTCACAGAGGGAAGCAGACATACTCCTCCCTGCTTGCAATGGAGAAATGCCGCCTGGAGGAGCCACCCGATGTCCTGGAAGGGCACCTGTGAGAAGGCTGGAGGCCTGGGTTCTAGTCTCACACTTGGGAGCAGAAGGTCTTCAGTGAGCTCCTCCTTCCTTTCACCAGGACACTTTCTCAGTCCCACTGCCTATCCAGGGCTGGGCACTGGGGGCAGAGCACAGGATGGGGAAACCTTAAACCTTTCCCCAGCAGAAAGTGCAGCCTCAGGTCTGCTGCTGGGGCCTGAACAATCTCTGATGAACAAACAGAACATAAACAGATCACCAACAGGGGAGGGCCAAGTAACATGGATTCAGCACAAAGCGCATGGCTAGCACTTGGAAGACAGGAAGAACCTGGGAAGGCTGCCTGGAAGAGGTGGAGTATGGAATATCCCTGAAAGAAAAGTGATGAGGAAGGGCATTCCAGGAAGGGGGAAGAGGGAGGGCAAATGCCCACAAGCAGGATGGTGCGCATTCCTTCTGGGAATTCTGGGATCTGACTGGCGGGAACAAAAGGCCCAAGTCTGGAGTAATGGGGCACAAGGAGATTCCAACCTCTCCAGGTTGTGCCACTTACTAGCTGTGTGGTTACAGTTATGTGGCTGCCTGAGCCTCAGATTCCTCATGTATAAAACGGAGGTAGAAACAGTCACTGCCTCTGGGGTTGCTGGTGAGCATTACATGAGATCAGTCTCATAAAGCACTCAGCACAGTCGCGGCGTGCAGTAAGTGTCAAGCAGTGGCAGCCTCTGTTAGGAGCTGGGAGTTTCTCCAGGCACCGGGGAGCCATAGGCGGATCCTGGGCAGGGAAGTGGTGTGATCGGATTTATGCTTTAGAATGGCATGGATAAGGAGTAGAGTCCAGAAGGAGGGAGGACAACGAGGAGGCCTGAGCAGCTGCCTGGGACCAAAGGAAATGGCCCACTGGCTGATCCCTTCTTCACAGAGGAGCTCCCCAGATCTGACAATCAGGTCCCAGCCCCCAGCCCCCAGCCCCCAGCCCCAGCAGCATGACCGCTAAAGGGGTTGCCATGGCCCCCCATCGCCCTTGAACTTTCCTAGCCCTCAAACTTTTCTAGCTGCTGGGGGTTTAGAAGGATATCTTAGGAATCTAGAAAATTTGCAAATCCATCTGAATCCCCAAAGGTTGCCTGGTGGCTGACTGGCCCAAAGCCAGACTGATTCTTAGAAACAAGGCTTGGGCTGAGGAACAGCAGTTATGGTCCTGAGGTCCCCAGTCCCCGCTTTCTGTGTACCCTTCTCCCATTCCCCTCTCCCGCTCCTCCCAGCTCTCCCCACTCCCCATTGACTGTGCTGTGCTTTGGAGGCCCCACTCAGCGCCCAGAAACCCCTGAGGGTTTTTGATGAAGGCAGGGGCAGCAGGGATGATGAGGTGGAGGCCACTCACCCCAGAGCAGGGGAACGGAGAAAACTGACTCCTCCAACCCTGACATCACCCAGTCTCCCAGCCTCCTCTCATCTGGTTTTATTAAAAATGTCTTCCTTTTTTTTTTTTTTTTTTTTTTTGCCTACTCAAAGAGTTGCAGGCTAGGGCAAAGGGACAGGGCATGGGGCTGGGGTTCCCACTTTTTCCAGTGCTTACCTTGCTGCTGATGGCTTCTGGTGTGGGCAGAGTTCCAGGCTCTGGACAGTAACCCCCTCCAGGAAGTCCTCCTTACTGCCCTCTGCCTGTTATCAAGTTTGGAGTTTCTGTTATCAGAAAGACTCTGGTCCCAGAGTGGGTAACAGCTGGGTAGAAGGCCAGGCAGGACCGTTGCAGGCTCCTGAAGGCTCAGGAGAACGGAGGGATGGAGGAAGGGGACTGCTGCAGGGAAGAGGAGCGGCCCAGCTTCGCCTCACTCCCCAAGCATCCTTCGGGAGGAGCAGAGCCGCCAGAGGGGCCGCCCTGGGTCTGGCTGTCTGCGTCGGGCAGGGCGAGCGCAGGCTGCTGCTGGGCAGCTGGGCTGAGGGGCCGGCTCTCTCCTCCTCGTTGTTGATCTCCTCTCTGGCTCCAAGTTGCTCACAGAGCGATCCTGGGTCCCAGATAGGGCGGGCAGTCACTGCTGGCTGCTGGCTGCTGGCAGCCTCAGGAGCTCACACCACTGTGGGCTTCCATGCCCCACCCCGCCTTCCCCCGCCACTTTGGGGGAAAGGCTGCAGGGCGGCTTCTGATTGGCCCGGCTGGGAGAAGGGGGGCGGTGGGGCAGGGAGGGTGGACGCGTGCGTCTGTTTTCAATTTCAGGGGTTTTTTTCCCCTCTCTCTTTCTTTTCCCCCAAGTTTCTTGTTTTTCTTCTTTTCCCTCTGCTTACTCCCTCCCGTCGCCCGTTCTCTCAGGATGTGAGGGGATGCTTAAAAATTCCACAGCCCACGCCAGCCGCCAGCCGCTGAGTCACTTTTGTCAAAGAGTGGCCTGGACCCCACTTGCCCGATGCCCATCTCGGGTGGCTGCCTCCCCTTGCCATGGCACCCAGGGAGAGTCATATCTCAGTGCCTCAGTTTCCCCATCTGTAAAGGAGACTGATCATCTCTGTGGTTGATTCAGTCAACCTTCATTCATTGAGCAAGCATACTGAGCGCTTACTATGTTCTAACACTGTACTGAGTGCCGGGAACAGAGCAAGACATGGTCCTGACCTCAGAAGCACCCAGGCTAGTGAGCGAGATATTCACTGGGCAAGCAGGTGTCCGGTGGGCAGACAGGAGGCTGGCAGTGCATTTAGAGGGACCCTTAATGGAGGCCTGAGAGAATCAGAGAGCACTGCTGAGAAGAGGTGACGTGGAGGAGACGGAAAGATCCTCCAAGATGATCAGCCATTTTTCAGAAGGACAAACCAAGGCCCAGGAGTGAATTGGCACAGAGAGGGAACATGATTTGGTCAAGGTCATCCAGCACAGATCAGATATCTCTGGATATTGACAGATACATTCCTTTTCACGTCTCAAAGCCCCTGGGGTGCAAGGAGAGGATTATTTACCCCATTTTATAGATGGGGACACTGAGGCCCAGAAGAGCAAAATAAGCTTCCCAAGCTTACACAGCAATGGCAGAGCTGGGGCAGAACTAGGTCTCATGAGTCACATGATGGAAGAGACATAAGTCATCTGACCCCCACCCAAGACCCCCATTCCAGTGTAGATGAACCCCCTGCCCTGCTTTCTTCCTAGGTTCCCCCTGTGGCTCTTTCATTCAGTCACTCAACAAGATACTTTTGAGGATCTGTTTTGTTCCGCTTCCATTCTCTGGCTCTTCTTTCCCACCAGGGTCTGCCAAGACTCCTCCAGTTCCCCCGGCTGGGTCTCTTCTTCCATGCTCAGCCTCTCAGATCAGAAGACATCTCCAGTTACAGACTCCTAACCCTCAGATGCCAAAGGGCATTATTTTAGAAGGGCATATAGAGTGGGCTCACCACCCCTGCTCCCACTACTGTATACACAGGGTAACTGAATTCCAGAGGGCGAAGAAAGCTGTCCCAGGTGGCACAGGTAGAGGCCAGCTCTGCCCTCCTTCCACTCTCCCCTCTCCACCGCTAAGTCTTTCCTCTTCAGCTTCCCCCAGGCCCCTGTTCACAGAGCAGGGGATTTGCCTGAGCTGGGATTCCATGCCCACCACAGTCAACAATCTTGCAGTCATTTCTTGGTCTAGTCCCAATCGGGATTGCCCAGCAGAGCATCTGGGCTGGACCATATAGAAGGAGAAGTGTTCTCAGACTGGCTCCTTGCCACGGGTTGGGGACCAAAAGAGTACCCCAAGAGAGGGGGCCTGGCCAGGTCTTTGTGGCAGCAAAGTCGTAGGGGAATGTGGAAAGATCCTACAGGCCACAAGGTCAGGCTTGCATAGGGATTTCTTGTGCCCAAAGACTCCGTCAGAAATTTACGACTCCCCTCCTAGCATCTGCCTGGGCCATTCACCTCTGAAGCCTTGGCTGACCCTCTGCAGCCTGGCCAGCCTGGGGGAAGCCAGGAGACACACCAACCCCTAATCCCCAAAGAAGCTAGTCTGGGAGTCAGAAGACCCAGCCACAGACTTACTGGGAGACCGTGAATAGGTCCCTTGCCCTTCCTGAGCCTCAGTTTCCCTATCTGTGCATAACAGGTGTGGACTCACTATGCTACAAGGCCCTTGGGATGGTCTGTCTGCAATTTCCCTTAGAGCGGGACTCTAGTAAGGGAGAGGAGGTTGGTGGGCCCTACGGCAGGGGTACAGCTGGGGGCCAGAGATGCAGCACAGAGGGGAGGGGCAGTTGGCGGTGGCTCCCCTGAGAAGCTGGCGGCCTCCGGTTTCCGGCCAGCCCAGCCATCCTGAGGCCCATCTGGAATTACTTAGCCCCTACCACCATTAACCCTTGGTGGGCACCAGGACTGTCGTTCCTCTTCTCAACTGAGATATGGGTGGGAGGCGCAGAGCTATAGGGAGCACCCCAGGGCACTCGCCAAGGACAGGACAATTGAGGCAAAAGTGTCATGATTGAGAGAGGAGGTTGGAAAGCTACAGATAGAGCTGGGTTTGAATCCCAGCTGCTCCAGTTTCAAGCTACATGAGCTTAGGCAAGTCACTTAAACTCTTGGGCCTTGGTTTCCTCCTCTGGAAAATGGAGCTAAGTCAAAGACTCTTCGATTTGTACAAAGGACTTAGTACATTGCATGGA